TCCAAAAACACATGAGACCTCACTCGGGAGAGAAGCCTTACACCTGCCAACAGTGTGGAAAGAGCTTTGCTCAACAAGACGCCCTCAAAAGGCACATTAGAATTCACTCGGGAGAGAAGCCTTTCACCTGCCAACAGTGTGGAAAGAGTTTCACTCTAAAAGCAGCCCTTCAAAGACACATGAGAACTCACTCGGGAGAGAAACCTTACACTTGCCATCAGTGTGGAAAGAGTTTTACACAGAAAAACAGCCTTCAGTCTCACATGAACATTCACACTGGAGTGAAGCCTTATACATGCGAACAGTGTGGAAAGAGTTTCCCTGCAAAACAAAACCTTAAAGTTCACATGAGAGTTCACACTGGAGAGAAGCCTTACTTTTGCAAGTATTGTGGGAAGAGTTTCGCAAATGCATACTCCCGTAAGTACCACATGAGAATTCACACTGTTCATTCAACATTCAACAGTAAGTAAAGAAATACATGCAAAGAAACAGATTCATGAAGGCTCACGGCCAGTTCAGCACACAAGACAAAAGTAAAAAACACCATTTATGAAAGTTTATGAACAACAGGTGCAACGGTCACATAAATTCCGCCAAGTTTTTTAATGGTTGTAATGAAAATTTGACAATTTTTCCACCGTGCAGTTTCGCTAGTAAACTGTAAGTAGTTTCCCTAATTGCTTTATCTCAGTTCTTGAGATAAAGATATCTTATCTTCATTGCTCACTACCAGTTTATGTGTGCATGCTATTTGCCATGTTGTGACAGATCGCTAGATCAGTTACAAGAGCAAAACAAGTTTCATTTTAAATAGAGCTTGTAATATATAACAAGAAACGGCATGCATACATTAAATGTAAGGGATAATCCACAGCTAGCATATGCCTTAAAATATTTTAATATAGGACTTGGAGGCAAACAGTAAAAAATACTGTAATTTTCATCAGGTATGGCTCGTTAGCATTCTGCCTGCTTTAAATCAGACACAGGGAAAGTAGTGCGGAAAGAGTTTTACACAGAAAAATTAATTACTGTAAATGTAGGAAGTAGTAGGTAAGATCGCATTTATTTGAATGAATTAATTATATCATTTATTTGAAATAATTAGTGCATGCGAGAGAATTACATGTGTCTAGTGTATGTAGAAGCTATTTTATTAATAAAAGTTTATGTGCGCCACAATGTTTCTGTGTGCGCTGCGCGATTTACGATCTAAATTTAGACTTTACATTTAGTCATTTTACAGACGCTTTTATCCAAAGCGACTTACAATTGGGGAATACATAAAATTATTCTTCTTAAAGAGGCAAACAGACACAGGAAGTGCTTGTAATACCAAGTTACCTTTCAGTTGGTCGGTCACTCTCGACGTCACGTCGGATGACCGACGAATTGGGATCTCGCTTAGAGAGACCAATCCACTTCGAGTGTAAACTAAATGAGCCAATGCACATTGGCATGCGATTATTGCATCCAGCTGCCGCTGATCA